TCCGTCCAGTCCGAAATTGGATGACTTTGAACGACTTCTCATACTCATTAATTATTTCGAGGGAAAAAGAGGGAAAAAACCGAAGGAAAAACATATAGCAGAAATATATCGATTGATTGAATCTACTTTCAGTTTTTCATAATTTTGAATACAATTCCAAAACGGGTTTCCGAAACAAACGCTATTATTCAAATTGTCTTTGTCTGCTATTCATTGCATTCCAAATGAGCCTAATTCATAAGATTGAGGAATTCCGAGGAATCGCATCAGAAAATCGGTGATGAAATGATATAAGAAGACGCAAATACAGTCCTTTGACTAAAAGTTGTCGTTTGATCGGCTTCATCCCTTCGAGACTAGACCGGAAAGGATAATTGGTATAATAATTCAGTTATTCACCTTATTTTTCTTGCGCAAAACGTGAAGGCAAATGGGATTTTTTTTTCTTTCATTATGCAGTTGTTATCACGATAGAGAATAATAAATTATTCATGGTTAATTTATACCCGTAGTCCTTTTCGGTCTTGTCGTGTAAGCATGAGACTGATCAACGACAAGGTTTAGTCAAAGKACTGTAGAATGGACGCTTGGGGATCGAATTCTCGTACCCAGACCCTACTCTCGCGGCCTCTAGCGGCCTGTCGTAGATTCTGGGACACCCTACAAATCGGAAGCTAGAGATCTTAAAAAAAAAATTAAAAGAAATATTCGCATTCCGTCCGTGTACCACCACAGGAAATCCATACTCCTCGAGAAAAAGAAAGACAAAACAGCCAAAATATGTGTGATGAAACACCGACATTTTTTCCTTAAACATTTACTGTATCTTCGAAAATGATAACATTAGAAAAATTAATCACCAGCAAAAAGTCCAAAGAAAAGTCAAAAGCACAGAAATATTCCCGCCAATTTTGTCATAACTAAGACGCGTTTGCACGTCCGGGAAATTGATTTGTAGAAGATGAAAAGCAATTTATTTTCGAGTGTTTTTAGGCCTACGTTTTGTAATACGAAAAAAGGAAAACAGGATTTTGCTTTGATATTTCGACAACAAGAAAAAGATGATATAGTATTGGAAATA